AGAGAAGAGGACACCCATGCTTTAGGACTGAAATTGGGGGCAGTGTTGCTGGCTTTTTAGGTAGTTTACTAAGAGGAGCTGGCTTCTTGGGAAAGTATATTCCCACTGTCACATTTTAAAACTTCACAGCCCACGTTATAAAAAGGGACACTGATAGTAGGCAGGCATTCTGAATGTTATCTTTCTGAATTTCGATCTGTTGCTCCTGATCCTTGATGATCTTCAGTAGTAATTGAAGATATTTTTACAGCTAAGTTAGGGATGCTACAAGCCAGTATCATGCATGGAGCTTTGCACATTAAACCGTGTATATGATACTTAGGGATATAATTTAATAAACATTAAATTATATAAATAAGAGAGCTGCAGGCCAGTGTTTGCATTCCCTTATCACCTTAAGCCTGCTAAGGGCAGAAAAAATATATATATTATGAAAGAAAAGTAGCTTTAGTTGCTGGAACCTGGCACTGTCGAAACAAAGGGAATGTTTTAATAACTTTGAATATGTCATGATTTAGTTGTGACCTTGCCAGTCAGTTTATAGTTTTAAGACCAAGTAGCTAAATCAGTTAAAATAGAAGAAAGACACACAGAGATAATACCCCCGCCCCCAACCACCACTTCCCCAGGGCCAGGATTGGGAAAGTTGTTCACTTCTCCTCACGGGGGGGGGGGGGGGGTTATGAGTTTCCCCTGGTTACCGAGTTTATGTGGTTGCTACATTACTGTGACCTGGTCCACTGAAGCATCACTGTGGTTAAAGTAAGCTATTATTTCGGAGAGGTAAATTCATGTGAAGCCAGGATCTAAAATAGAGGACAGAAGTTTTAAGTTTAACACACACCTTGGAGGTACTTCCTTCTATTCGCAGCAGACAGAGAATGGCTTTCTTGCAATTAAATGTGTACATGTATTTTTCAGTGTACAAATGAACCCTTGCTAAAATAAATATGAGAAGTGTCTGTACTTGATTGAGAACTGGGAAAGGCATCACTCCTCCTCCCCCTCCCCCTCAATTTCGTTTTAAGAGGGTTTGGCCAGCAGTGGTATTTGGTTAGAAATGGCCTAGAGAGACTTCAAGCTTGGCTTTGATAGAAAGATGAAAGAAAAAGTCTTGAGCCATCAGATTACATATCAAATAGCTGAAGACAGTCAAAAGTTTCCACTGCCCAGAATTCCAGTGCCAATGTGAAGCGATTACTAAAATGTTAGTCAACACTCTATGGTTCCCAGGTTTTCTCATTAGAGTTCCAGGGTTCCTTTTGTAAAATGTGACCTTGTTTTCTCTCCCATCCTGAAATGTCAAGAGAATGTTGCTCCTGCACATACCTTGAACAATAGCTTCTACTGACAAATAGACTGTAGCAGTTCACTGTACTTCCTATTAGGAGTTAGTCAATAAATATACTTTCCTAAAAGCCAGAGCTTATGCAAGCAGCTGAATGTAGGAGTGAATGTTGATTTCTTTGAACCGTAGTAATCTGAAGGCAACACGTAATTTAGACTCCAAAAAGCTTAAATACTTGCATATGAAAAGAGCCTTCTCATGAGGCAGTCTGTCGTTTTTCAGGGGGTTGGGTTTGACTGATTTCCAGGCTCTGTATTTTCAGAGTAGCACACAACTCTGAACTATGGGCTTGAGAGAGAGAGAGAGAGAGAGAGAGAGAGAGAGAGAGAGAGAGAGAGAGAGAGAGAGAGAGAGAGTTAAGTTTGTGCAGCTTAATTGCTTCAAAGAACAGATTTCGATCCTGTTGGTCATACTTCCAACCCGAGAACAGAGGCAGCCCTTCTTATTTTGTGAAAATGTTTGTTTAAAACAACAAATTATGGAAATGGAAGTAGAGGCCACAATTTCTGCCCAAGGACTAGCATATAGTGTTTCTTTTATTTGTTGTTTAAGATTTGAATTTCTGAGTCATCAGTAATACTATTTTTGTTGCATTTAATTTAGTTTAGTAAAATAAATTTACTCATTCCAATTTTCTGTGAGCAGTAACATGATGATGCGTATATAGGATGCTAGCTTTACATAATTGAAAAATATTGGCTGAAAGAGTTATAATTGGATTGAGGCTTTTTTAAAAAATAAATACTTAAAATTGCAAAAGGAAAGGATTGCTGTGTGGTAATTTATCTTTATTTGTGGAAATGGCATTTTTATTTTCTTTTTCCAATTTTTTTTGTAAGTATTTTTGACTGTAATAAGTGCAATGGCATATTTTATAGTCCTTTAAAACCTGAACCCTTTAGGACAATTTACTGTAAATGCTTATGCTCCCTGATACTCCTGTCTCACATGAACTAGAACGTGTTTATAACTATTATAGACAAACAAAACAACTCACATTTCCCTTTCTTTGGCAGATTTGATGTTAGCAGATATGTTTCATTGATTTTTCTATAATTCTTAATGCATACCATTTGTAGAGTAATGAAAGTGCAATGATAATTGCCATCATGCAAACAAAAAAATGTATTCTCCTTGAAAATCTCTTTCCAGAAAACTCATGGTGTAATTAGACCTGGGCCTTGGAGGGTAGGTGTTTCCCTGGTTGTAGGGCATCGTTTAGTCTCAGAAGGGCTCACCCTGCTTCCACCCAAGTGCCCTTTAAGCATGACATGTTTAGAGCGATGTATTTATCAGGTATTTTTAGTGGTGATTATAGCTGCCAACCTGTGAGCATGTGTACTTCTTAGAGAAAGAGAAAGCATTTTCTTGCCACCATGGATGGCAAACCTTTTCTCTTTGTGTCCTTGGCCCTGGTCCTGACCCTGTGTTCCCTCTTGGTTTTTGTATACCATCACATTTTTAGTTGTTTGGGCCATCTTGCTTGGTAATCTTCCACTGTTAGTAGTATCGTGCTTCTCTGATGTATGGTTTTGAAATATTGAAGATTTCAATTTTAGTGTGTGTCATTGTATACTGTGTTCCATCCTTTACTGTCTTGCTTATAATTTGTGTATTTTTTATAGTGAGTTCGTGTGGCCTTGACTTTATCCTCGTGTTCTTTCCTTTGATGGGATACACAAGTAAATAACTCTTTATTACTCTGGCTAGGGTAGCAGGACAAATGCTGTTTGAAAGAAGGAAGCATGCCAATGCTAGAGTAAATTAATATTTGACAGCATTTGCATCATATTTGACTGTTCTGTGCACTTCAGCAGAGTGGGAGGAGGCTGTAATTTGGACTCTAGCAAGCCTTATCTGCCGGGAGATGGGTAAACAGGGCCCCGTGTACACACAAATCCATATACAAGCAAACCCAAGTCCCCTGTACCTGTGTAGCTTCTGGGAAAGTGATAAAAATCAAGACTTCCTTTGCCCTTAAAGTAATGCTGAACTAAGATGAAATAAAATTTTGTGAACTCCTGTTGAACTTGGGCATCGTTTGTAACCCAACAGCCTTCTTGGGGAAAAGATGGTGTCTTATTTTCTTTTTGTAAGAACATTATAGTCCACTTCAGCTTTTCTCTCTGTACACAGATTACACACGGGGAAACTGAAGACTGTTAAAAACGATTTCTTTTGCAGAGCAGTCCTGGGCACATAATAGATGCTTAGATAAATTGGTGGTGAATGGATTCGTTAGAAGGAAGGATACTTTGGCTACTATTCATTACTTTGCAAAGTGCTGGAAAGAAATGGAAGTTATTTTCCTTTCCAGCTGGGCTGTGCTCTTAAAAATAGCGAGTGTGTATGGTTGAAAATAATTATGACTACTGAGATGAGTTGCCATGTACCCAAGGATAATTGGCTTCCTTACCTGTTTACAGATTACTCACTTTGGAGATCATATTCGTAGTTCCAGAATAGTTTCTTTCTGACACCCAATATAATTCTGGGCCTTCTCCTTCCTACTGTTACCTGGCGTGAGCTTAGGAAATCCAGACTAAATTTAAAATCAGCCTAAACACACAGGCAGCCCAACTCCAGTGATCTGACTGAAAACCACTTCAGCATTCACTTAATCTAAGGGATTTTTTTTTTTTAAATCCCAACAGCATGGCTGGTTCTTTTAGTTTAATCTGACTAATTGGGTATCCCCAGCACTTAAGTATATAATTTTAATGGCTGGCCGATCGAGCTCTCTATTTCTCCTGTTTCTGTGCATACATCTTTAATTTACAAAATTGTTTCCCAAGCACCAAGATCCCTGAAGATTCATCCATTTCTTCTTTCATTTATCCATTCACAAATTCATCATATAGTGGATAACTGGGATTTACTATTGGGGCAAAATCAAAGTGAAGCAGTGTCTGTTCAATAATTAGATGATTTCAAACTTAGGGCTGGGCGTGGACCTCCGTTGCTAAGAGTGCCTGTCTGCCATGCACAGAGCTGTAAGCTGGATGACTGAGCATTGCATAAACCGGGCCTGGTGCACATGCCTGTATTCCCAGGACTTGTGTGCTCAAGTTCAGGGTCATCCTCAGCTACATAGCAAGTTTGGGATCAGCTTGGGCTACATGAGACCTTTTCTTAAAATGCAACCTTATCCCTCCCCCCCCATTTGATTTTTTTTCCACTCACCTTTGGACTAGTGTGCTAATAGTGGTGTTCTGTCATGGTCATCTTTTTAGTTACATGTGGATAGATAATATGCAATCAATAAAATTAGGCTTTTGGCCCAATTGCTATTGCATCCATGCCCATTTGTACCTGGTGTGATTTGTGATGAGTGACATATGCTTATTTATTGAGTGCGTAAGGAAAATGACAGTGGCTGTCTCAAACACGGAGACCAAGATTTTCATTTGGCTGAAGAGATGGCCTAGGTTTTATGTGTTGGTTCTCCAATCTATCATGAACTGGCTACTGTCGGTGTAACTCCTTTATAACAAAAATAAAAAATAAAAAAATTTGTTCTTAAGACTTGTCTTTCTGCGTCTACATATTAAGGTAGACCTCTTTTTAAAGCAGTTTATTCTTTTTTGTCTCTCTGTTTGTTATTGGTCTTTCATCTTGGATTTCTTCTCCTGTGCTTCCTGGACCACTGTAGAAGCATCCTGCATCCCCAACAAGTCACCAGGGTAGCTCATTCAAGCTGCAGATCCGTCTGTCAACCTTGTCCAACTGTCTCCTCCTCCATTCCCTCTGCAGGGAAGTGCATCATATGTCAGGTGAGAGTGTTACAATGTTTTCTGTCTGAGGATAAGTTTGACTTGGAATGGTTGCTCATCAGCCATGTGCTCTGTTAATCGTGAGATATCATTTTCTTCACAACTATAGGGTATGGGAAATTGCCGTGTGTGTGTGTGTGTGTGTGTGTGTGTGTGTGTGTGTGTGTGTAACGTGGATGACCGCATCTATGGTTGTGGTCTGTTTGGTTCATGAAGAAACCCGCATTAATTTGTGATGATCAATGATTGCTGCCTGGGACTTGTGCCTGATCTTTTTACTTTTCACTTTTCCTTAAGTCAGTTAAGAGCACTAAGCTGCCATCTCCCCTGAGTCATGATTCTCCCGGTTTAGGTTCTTACTGTAGTATCATATGTTTGCAGGGAAACAGAGAACTGTTTGTTGGGTCAGTGGCAGGCAGGCGTTGTTGAATCTTGAGTCTCTTTGTGTCTGTTTGGATTTTACAACTTCCTGATTTCCTCACATACAGTAAATTTTTCTGGCTGAGCAAGTCTCGAAACAGTGTGTAAGCAAGGACTGTTGACTCATGGCTCTGTTAAAGAGCAGACAGGAGGCCACTGCCCTTCTGTGAAATCCGGAGAGAATGGAATTCAGCTAGGACGTGGGGCTGAAAAGTCTTGGGGACACTAGTATATATAACAAAGTGGGGGTGTTGTGAAATAGAAAAGAGAGGCTCCATTTCAGCTGCCTTCCTTGTGAGTAGCACTGCTTGAAGCCATGAAGACAGGCAACACCAGAAGTTACAAAGGCTGGCTGGGCAACAGGCACACTCAGAGAGTTTCAAACAGAATTTGGGGCTCCACCCTAGACCTCCTGAAGGAGAATGTTCCCCGCTGGTCTCTTGGAATGAAGGAAGTGTTTCTGGAACGTTCTTGTTTCCTTTCTTGGTAAGAAGCAGAAGGCACTTTTACCAAACTACATACCCCATCAAAATCCATTCATCAAGAGGTAGATCCTGGCTTTACCAAAAGTGTTCACTTAAAAAAAAAATGACCCAGTGGAGCTGAGCATGGTGGCTCATGTCTGTCATCAAAGCACTTGATAGGGAGAGCTGAGGTGGAAGGAGGAGTGCCCAGAGTTTGAGGCTAACTTCAGCAACGTAGTGAGTTCCAGAATAGCATGGGATGCAGCCTGAGAGCCTTCTCAAAAAGCAGAACAAAATAAAACTCCCAAGCAAATTCACCAGTTTTCTGTGTTTACACCTCAGAACCAGTTTATTTTAAGCTAAGTGCAAACCTCCATGGCCTTTGAGATAACAACCCGAAGCTCTGACACTAGCCAGCATATTTGGACTTCAAATCTCAAGATGCTTTCTGATCATACACATGCCTCTCTATACCGTTCATGCCCCTGCTTCTTCTTGAAAGATGAGGACAATAGAGGATACTGTGAGGATGGAATGAAAAATGTGCCTGGCATATGGCTTATGATCTGTTCACATAAGCTATCATTGTTAGCACATAGCTTATCTCTAGACCGGCGATTATAATGGTCTTGTTTTTCCATGGTTGCTCCTGGACCATACATGACTAGAAACAAGTCATTATACCTAGACCTTGGCCTTTGGACCAACCTTGTCGGCATTTGTGGCTCTACAAAGCCAATAAGGGTTCTATTTATTTTTCTGAATTTTAAATTCTGAACCTAGTATAACTCTTACTGTGGTAGAATGCATATTTTTTGCACTGTAGGAAGATATACTAATGAATAATATGCATAAATTGAATTATTTGTAGTTTGAATTAAAAGAAAAGACCTAATAGTTATGTTTAAGCTTTAGAAGTCTTGGAATATAGCTCAATGGGAGAGCACTTGCCTAACATGTGTGAAGACCTGGGTTCAATTCCCAAGACAGACAGAAAGAATCTAAGAGTCCTCTGAGGGGCAAAGCAGAGAATGGAGGGGGTTACCACACCACAGGGATTATATTCTTGTGAATTATGCAAATGGTTCTCTCTATTTTATTGGCTGTGAATTTGAGAGTCTCCATTGAAATGGAAGTAGAATGATGTCTAGCTCCTGCAAGGGCAAGCCTCTTGAGATCTGCAGGTGTCTGATAATGGGCAGGGCGGGGGGCGGCATATTGTTGCTTTCCCTCTTTAGGGGGAACCTGTTTAATATGTGTATTTTGCCAGGCAGACAATCCTCACATTGACCTTTTAGGAGACACGGATCAGGTGCATGTGGGGTGAGGTGTTCTTTTCTTTTTAAAACCTATGGTATTTGAAGAGAGTCTAATCTATAACAAAATAATCTCAAGAATTTTCTTGTGAAGAAGACAGACTGCCAGGAGTCTTATCTTGGGCTGCATGGCCTGCTTATTGAGGTGCAGGGGTTTCTGGCCTCATACCCAAGCCTAAGTGTCATGGATACTCATGGTCTCACTGAAAAATACTGCAGTGTCATCTTTAATATTAGGGCATTGATATTTCCTGTGACTGCATAGAAAAGAAACGTACATGCATTATCTAAACATTTTGCATACATAATGGCCTCATTATGGTCCTCACATTTGATGGCTGTATGTGGGCTGGGAGAGCGTATCATGTTGTACTCTGATACATTCCACTTACTCATTTAAATGAAAGAAAGTCTGGGTTATTATTTCTGGCTCTTGTTATTTTATAAATATGATGCAGCTAAGCAAGTTATGACCTAACTTATTCACAGTTACTATCTATGTAAAGAAGTGATTCATTCATACATTCATTGTGTTTTTTTTTTTTTAACTACTTTATGGTGCTGTGGACATGAAAGTGAGTAAGAGCTACCGGAGATTATACATTCTTCGTGACCAGGCATGAGAGAGAAGGAATGCACTGACATAACTAACAAAGCTGAATGGTTGAGTTGTGCTTAGAGAGGGGTACATTCTGACCCGACCCGGAAGGAATTCAAAAGGGTGGTGGGAGTTCAGGAAAGGTGGTGAGGAGGAGGATCATGTGACTTGGTCTCTGAAGGCTGGATTGCACTTCTGTGGGAAGAGATGGAGAGAGACAGAGGAAGGTCTTGCAAGTGGCTGGGACAACAAGCAAATGCTTACTTGTATGTAGTATGTAGGCTGGGCAACTGCGGCCGAAGGTGGGGTGTTTCTGGCTTTCAGAAGTCAAGAAGACTGGCCGGGGTATGGGAATAGCCGAGAGGTCAGTGGGAAGAGCAGTCTGGAAGAATGGTTTTGGAATTCGGCCTTCGGGGTCTTGCCCTGGGCAAAGGGCTGGACACACAAAAGGCGTGACTAAATCTAAGGATGCAGGAGCTGGCATTGAACGGATAGGGAGAAGGTAAGAGACAGTGAGAAGGGGAGCTTGGATGGTGGCATGGCACAGCCTTTGTTTGCCAGTTCTTCAAAAGCAGGGGGTGGCAGGAGGGACTGGGTTGATGCAGGGGTGTCTGGTGGAGGGGGGGGGATTCTGCTGTTAGAGCTCTGGAACCCTAGAAAGTCTGTGTTCAACTGAATGCCATGAAATCTCGTTGAAACAGTTATTCCTTTATAAAATAGGAACTTGCGCTAATTTTAGCTAGCTCTAATATGCGTGTATATGAAAACGAATGCCGCTTTTGACACTCAGCCTGTGCGGTGTCTCTTTCCACTTAAAACAAATGCTTCTTTGACTTTCCTCCAAGCGGTTCTCTGAAGACTTTGGATGGTGCCCCTGCCCCTACTAGCAACGATTTCAGCATTTCTTTGATCTTTTCTACTGCTGATTGATTCTTCTCATGTGACAGGCGTGAATCTCATTGTGTCAGCCACTTAACAACTTACCCATTGTTCATTTGTGGCAATTCAGTTACTGTACTTTTGATAAATAATATTAGCATACTAGCATGGGTGTGCTTTATAACTTTTGGAGATTTCCTGGAGGCTTTCTATAGGTTCTTGTAAATGTGAGAACATATGTACATATATGTAAATGTGAGAAGATATATATATATATATATATATATATATATATATATATAGAGAGAGAGAGAGAGAGAGAGAGAGACAGAGACAGAGACAGAGACAGAGACAGAGAAAGAGAAGCATGGATCTTGATGTATGAAAATCCTAAGATGCCAGACCCAGCTCTTTAACGAATTGGCTTCTCATTTAATACCCTATAGAAGATAAAGAAATACAGAATTGAGCTGAGCATGGTTGTGTATTCCTGTAGGCCTAGCATTTAGGAGCCAGAAGCAGGCAGGTCAGGAGTTCAAGGCTAGCCTCAGCTACACAGTAAGTTTGAGCAAGCTTGGACTATTTGAGATCCTATTGAGAACCTTATCATTGCTAAGTCTTAGTTCTTGGGGGGGGGGGGGGTTAGCCTAAGACTCTGTGGTACACAATGCAAGGGACCAGTGGAAGTTATCTTGGTGTTAATGAGTAGTCTATTTACATAAAATTAGGAAAAACCTGAGGATTGTTTCAAGTTTTTATTTTTATTTTTTTTATTTTTTTTATTTTTTTTTGTCTGAGTTGTTTACGTGAACTCTTTGTATTGCTCTCAAGTGACTAGGAATGAAAATACTAAATACACAAATAACAGTATTAAAAACGTGAGGTTCTGTGCATGTCCACATGTGTGTTCAGGTGCACATGTGTTTGTAATGTACAGAGGCTAGATGTCAACCTCAGCTGTCCTTCCTTGGGTGCCATCAGTCTTGTTCATTGAGGCTGGCTGGTCAGTGAGCCCCAGGGTCCTTCTCCAGTGCTGGGGTTACAGGTGTGAGCCACCACACCTGGCTTTTTCATGCATGTTCTGGGGGGTCAACACTCAGGTCCATCACTTGTTTTACTGACTGAGCTGTCTCCTCAGCCTGCCTGAAAACCTTTAATTAGCATCCAGGGTGCAAGTTGAGACCCTAACAGGAAAACAGTGATAAGTAGTTTATAGTTGCTTTTTTAAAACATGAAGCCATTTAATCTTTATTACACTCATATCTGGCAGACACTGTCGTTGTATCTACGCCGTGGGTGTAGACACTGTGGCACTACCATGGG